TGTTCTTATGAATGGATGAATGAATCTGAATATTCAAATATAACATTTTTATTCTATTCATCTATGAATCCCTTAACAAGAATATAACCAAGTTCAACAGCCTCAAACAAGACGATAAAGTCCAACAACCTCAACCAAGACATAACAAAGTCCCAACACCTACAAATTAGATGATAAAGTCCCTGTGTCCTCAAACGAGATGATAAAGTCACAACGTTTTTAAAGCGAGATGATAACAAGTCCCAGTGTCCTCAAACGAGATGATACCAATGTCCCAATGTCCTCAAACAAGACACAAAGTCTCAACACCCACATATTAGATGATAAAGTCCCAATGTCCTCAAACAAGACAATAACAAAGTTCCAATGTCCTCAAATGATACAATAAAGTCCCTACGCCCTCAAACGAGATGATAAAGTCACAACATTTTTCAGCGAGATGATAACAAAGTCCCAATGTCCTAAACCAAGATGTTAACAAAGTTCCAGTGTCCTCAAACAAGACAATAACAAAGTTCCAGTGTCCTCAAATGATACAATAAAGTCCCTACGCCCTCAAACAAGATGATAAAGTCACAATATTTTTCAGCGAGATGATAACAAGTCCCAGTGTCCTCAAACAAGACAATAACAAAGTCCCAATGTCCTAAAACGAAATGATAATTAAGTCCCAGTGTCCTAAAATGAAATAACAAAGTCCCAGTGTCCTCAAACAAGACGGTAACAAAGTTCCAATATCCTCAAACAAGATGCTAAAGTCACAACGTTTTCAAGCGAGATGATAACAAGTCCCAGTGTCCTCAAACAAGATGATAACAAAGTCCCAATGTCCTCAAACAAGACAATAATTAAGTCCCAATGTCCTCAAACAAGACGATAACAAAGTCCCAATGTCCTCAAACGAGATGATAACAAAGTCCCAGTGTCTTCAAACGAGATGATAACAAAGATCCAACGTCCTCAAATAGATATGATAACAAAGTATCGATGTCCTCAAACGAGACGATAACAAAGTCCCAATGTCTTCAAACGAGATGATAACAAAGATCCAACGTCCTCAAATAGAGACGATAACAAAGTATCGATGTCCTCAAATAGAGACGATAACAAAGTATTGATGTCCTCAAATAAGATGACAATTAAGCCCCAAAGTCCTAAAATGAGGTAGCAATAAAGCCCAAACGCCCCCCAAAAACATTGACAATTAAGCCCCAGCGTTGTAAAACAGGACAACAATAAAGTCCCAACATCCTCAAACAAGATGACAATTAAGTCCCAATGTCCTCAAATAAGTACTTCCTAATTAACAGCGACTTAGCTTGTTACTGTTGCTAAAATTGGTCAAGTTTGTTGCCTTATCAAGCCACAGATGTTATTAAGACTAAATTAACAAGTTTCATCCATAAAATGTGATCAGGTTTTGGATCTTGTCCACTTTTGTGTCGGGGGCGACTGCAGACTGACTGGGCAGAGATGGCTGCCATCTTGTTGCAACACAGATTAATGTGTTGTGCTGTTGCCACCACTAGATGGCACAAAGACGTGTCCTTGAACGAGGACAACAGGTCTAAGTTAAACATAAGATATAAGATGAATCAAACCCAAAATGTGATGTCTTATATGAGGACACAGGGTCTCCTGGAGATCCTTGCAGAAGTCGTTGGAGTTCTTGAGGGGGTTATTGGGGTCCATAAGGGGGTTCTGGAGGTTCTTGGGAGGTACTGCAGCTCCCTTGTCCTGCACCAGTGATGACAGCCGATTAAATGTTACAGTAGAACTGGTGGCCGTAGAATAAACTTTGATGATAATGGGAGTACTGGACATACTGGTATCAGTTCACATGCATCTACTATAGCGAAAAAATGCTAACAGCTAACACCTGATGTGATCTGTGTCTCTGCAGAAGTATCGTTACCAAGACGATGAGACTCCGCCTATCGATCCCAGCCCCGGTCACATGACCCACGGACGCAGCACTGAGCTGAGCCACGCACACCTGGACGGATACACACACCCTGCCGCACTCACCGTACGCATGCACACACACACACACACACACACACACACACACACACTACGTTCAGCTGTCAGCCAAACAGTGTTTGTAAGGACATTTTTAGGAACTCCGGAGAGGTCCTTGAGAACATTCTGGGGATCATTGAGGATGGTCCAGAAGGATCAGTGGTTAGTGAACAACTTCAAGAGGTTCTAGAGTCCTTGACAAGGTTTCAGAGGTCCTTGATGAGCTTTAAGAGATCCTTGAAAACATTCTGGGGGTCATTGAGGAGGGTCCAGAAGGTTTCAGTGATCCGTCAAAAAGTTAAAGAGGTTCTGGAGTCCTTGAGAGAGTTCCAGAGGTCCTTAAAGAGGTTTTTGAGGTGTTTAATAAAACCCAGTGTGCTTAAACATGTTTTCAGATTAGATGCTTTTCTTTACTCCACCAACATGACACAGCGACACACAGTGTGTGTGTGGTGGATGTGCACAGACCGATACAGGTCAATACAAATTACTGTGAACTTTTCTTATTTCTGTTTTTATCAATAGAATCAGTTTCTACTCTGCTGTCTCCACCAGAGGGCGCTGTTCACCGCAAACTGACCTGTTTGCTGCAAACTGTTCTCAGCACTCACAGCTCAAACTAAACTGACATACTCTAAGAAAGACACGTTTTTGTTTCAGCTGACAGGTCTCAGTCCTTGAGGAGTCGTTGAGAGCATTCTTCAGGTTGCAGGAACCCTAAGGGGATTTGAGATGTCCTTCGAGAGGTTCCAGAGGGTCTTGACAAGGTTCTAAGGGTCCTAGAGGATGGTCCACGGGCTGCTAAGTAGGCTCTAATGGTCATTAAGAAGTTTTTGAGGAAACTTTTATGGTCCTTGAGGGAGGCTCAAAGGTCCATGGGGAGGTTCTAAATGTCCCTGGAAACAGTTTAAAGGTCACTGACAATGTTCTGGTGAGATGAGGAAGTTTGAGGACATTCTTAGGGTTCTTTGGGGTTAAGGAGTTTATAGGAGTGCTTGAGATAGCACTATGAGTCCTTATGCAGGTATGAGACATCCTTAATAAGGTTTGACAAGGCCTTGAGGAAGTTGCTATGAGATGCTATGGGGCAGGTTTGAGACATCTTTGAGCAGGTTTATGAGGTCCTTGAGGATGTTCTAGGGGTTCTTCAGGTTTTACTATGGTTCTTAAGCAGGTGCGCCAGGTCCTTAGGCAGGGTTGACAGGTCCTTGAGGGCATTGTTAGAGTTTAGGAGGTTAAAGGAGTGATTGAGATGGTACTATGGATCCTAGAACAAGTTTAACAGGTCCTTGAGTAGATTTGAGAGGTTCTTGAGTGTGTTTAAGAGGTCATTGAGGACATTGTCAAAGTTTAGGAGGTTATAGGAGTGCTTGAGGTGGTATTATGGCTCTTTATACATGTTTGAGACATTCTTGAGCAGGCTTTATGGGTCCTTGAGGACATTCTAGGAGTTTAGGGGCTTACAGGAGTACTTAAGAATGTACTATGGGGGCAACCTCTAGCTGACTTGGTAAAGTGGGTACCCCATATAGGCTGAGTCCTTGCAGCAGCTCGGGTTTGATTAGGACTCGCAGCCTTCTGCTGCGTGTCATTTCCTGTCTCTCTCCCACCTGTACAGTCTATCTTCAGCTGTGGTGTCAGTGAAGGAAAAAGCTCCCAAACATGTTTTAAATTGGTGGCAATATGGGTCCTTAAGAAGTTTTGAAAGGTCTCTGAGTAAGTTTAAAAGGTCTTTGAGCAGAGTTTGAGAGGTCCTTGACTAGGTATGGGACATTCTCAAGCAGGTTTAAGAGGTCCCTGAGGATGTCCTTGAGGTTTAGAAGGTTATAGGTGCTTGAGCTAGTGCTATGGGCCCCTATGCAGGTTTGAGAGGTCCTTGAGCAGGGTTGAGACTTCCTCAGGCAGGTTTAACAGGACTTTGAGCAGGTTGAAGAGGTCATCATGGACATTCAAGGGGGTCGTGGGATCCTGGCACCCTGAGTCCTTGAGCAGGTTTGACAGGTACTTGAGGATGCTTCAGGGCTAAAGACGGTTATAGGAGAGCTTGAGATGGTACTGTGTGTCCTTGAGCCGGTTTGACAGGTCCTTGAGCAGGTTTGACAGGTCCTTGAGGATGTTCAAGGGCTTTAGGAGGTTATATTACAGCTTGGGATGGTTCTGTGGCTCACTGAGCATGTTTGACAGGTCCTTGAGGATGTTCAAGGGCTTTAGGAGGTTATATTAGAGCTTGGGATGGTACTGTGGATCACTGAGCATGTTTGACAGGTCCTTGAGGACACTCTGGGGCTTTAGGCGTTTATAAGAAAACCTTAGGCTGTACTGTGGGTCCTTGAAGAGGATTTTTTGGGGGGTGTGTCTGAGATCAGATCTCAGATCAGAGTCCAGCTGGTTTGTTGAGGTCAGCTGTTCCATGTTATTAATATTCACTGATCTCAGATCAGTCCTTCCTCCTCCTTCATCATCATCCTCCTCTTAATTACTGACACTCACACACTCAGCAGCAGCGTGGGCTGCTCCTGCCCACTCTGCATCTGATGCATCCCTCTGCCTTTTTTTTTCACCCTGCTCCACCGTCACCATGGCAACGGCAAGAATGGAAGGGGGGGTTGTTACCATGGCAACAACATTAGCCTGAATGTGTGTGTGTGTGTGTGTGTGTGTTTGCTGAAATCATTCTTTTTGTAAGAATTCAATTACTCTGTGCGTCTCTGTCTCTGTCTTTGTCTCTCTGTCTGTCTCACTGTCTCCCTCTGTGTCCCTCTGCCTCTCTGTCTGTCTCTCTGTCTCACGGCCCGTGGCAGAGTGACATCACAGAGGGGAGGGGATTCCTTCAGAGCGGTAGAGAGGGAGAGAATGTGGCAGAGAGACACAGGGACGTAGAGAGGAGAGAGAGAGAGAGAGAGAGAGAGAGAGAGAGAGAGGTGTGCAGCAGAGCGTCAGGAGGGTCGAGCAAAGAGAGAGAGAGAGAGTGAGAGAGTGAGAGAGTGAGAGAGTGAGCGGGCGAGCGGAGGAGGAACGAGGGATGACAGAGAGGGCGAGCGACACACAGCCTCTCTCTCTCTTTTTCTGTTTTCTGTTTTCGTTTCTCTTCATCAGACGGACGATTCTTCATCTTCATTTTCATCCTCATCCTCATCCTCATCTTCATCACCTCCCTCTCTCTCCCCCTCTCTGGATAAACGAGGGAGGATGGAGTGATGCTCTGAGCTGTCCGTCATGTCTCTCTGCTTCGTTAACGTGTCCAGGAAACGACACCTAACGAGCTTCTTCTCCTCCTGCTGCTGCCGCTGAGAGCCTCCTCTCCCTCTGTGTGCCTCTTCTTCTCTGGTGGCTGGTTAATTATTCATCCGTCACTCCGTCAGTCTTTATGTAACAGCCGTCCTCCTGAAGACAGAGAGAGAGAGAGACAGACAGGCAGAGAGAGAGACAGGAAGTGATGTTTGTGTCGGTGTGGTACGCCAAGAAGATGGGAAGACGATTCATCAACAACGTGAGGCGTGCAAAGAGACACAGGCAGAGGATGATGGTAGGAACCTTTCATTAACGGGGAACTTTAATGTTGGATTGGTTTTGGCGCCCCCTGTGGACAGATGAAGACGAAGGTGCTGTGTCGTGCATTCGTTTCAGAAGCTCACGTTGTCGCTATGTTTCTTTTTTAACCAGATGTGTGCAGGATGCAGAGCGATGAGGTCATGTATGTGTGGAGGGGGAGGGGCCTTCAGTGGAAGCAGTCATGTTGTAACGAGGACAAAGTTTCAGGAGGCGGGTCTAATGTTGCTCTCCTGTCTTCTCTGACTCGTGTTCTGGTAATGGGTAATGGGTTTTTGCTCTGTGTGCATGTCGAAGGTCAAAGGTCGGGTGGATGCTTGGGCTCTATCTTCCTGAACCTGGCTAACCTTTGTTAGCTACAGGACTGTTAGCTTCCACTGAAGCTAGCAGCTACACTGCACATTTAGGTCCTGTCCACACGTATGCGCACATTTTTGAAAACACATATTTTACCCTCAATTTAAAGAAAAAATATGTCCACACAATATTTTTTAAAAAGAATATATCCATCCATGTAAAGTAAAATTCTGTCCACATGTAGTATAAAGACATTTTTTAGTTGTCAATCTTAGAATTCAGTTGACCAGTTGGGTGTTAGCTTTAGGTAAAGCTGTATATAAAAGCCAAAGACTACAGGACTGTTAGCATCCACTGATGCTAGTAACTCGACATCTTTGATTTTTGTGAGCTACCCAACTGTTAGTTTTATCTAAAGTTAGCAAATAGACTGTAATCCTTCATTTAGCTACAATACGGATCGTTTTGTCTTCAGTAAACTAGTAGAGTTAGCATGACTTAAGTGACTGTGAGCTTCAACTGAAGTTAGCAACAACAGTGTTAGCATTGTTCCTGGTGGTCCAGCCTTGTTCCTCATAGTTCAGGTTTGTTCCTGGTGGTCCAGCCTTGATCCTCATAGTTCAGGTTTGTTCCTGGTGGTCCAGCCTTGTTTCTCATAGTTCAGGTTTGTTCCTGGTGGTCCAGCCTTGTTCCTCATGGTTCAGGATCATTCCTTATGGTTCACGTTTGTTTCTCATGGTTCAAGTTTGTTCCTCGTAGTCTAGGCTTGCTCCTCATGGTCCAGAATCATACTTCATCTTTCATGTTTGTTACTTGTGGTCCAGAATTGCTTCTCGTGGTTTCGGGTTTCTTTGTCATGGTTAGACTTTTTTTTTTTTATTGTGGTTCAGGCCTTTTTGTTGTTGTTTAGGTTTGTTCCTTGTGGTTCCAGTTTGTTTCTGGTGGTCCAGGTTTGTTTCCCAGGGTCCAGGTTTATTTCTTGTGGTTCAGGTTTGTTGTTTGTGCTTCAGGGTTGTTTCTTGTGGTTTAGGCTTGTTCCTCATGGTCAAGGTATTTTCCTCATGTTCAAGGTTTGTTCTTCAGGGTCCAGGTTTGTTTGACATGGTCCAGGTATGTTCCTGGTAGTCCAGATTTTTTTTCTCATGGTTCAGGTTTGTTTCTCGTGGTCCAAGTTTGTCCCTTGTTGTTCTGGTTTGCCCCTCGTTGGTCCAGGCTTGTTTCTCAGGGTTCGGGTTGGTTCTTGGGGATTCAAGTTTTTTCCTCACTTGTTCAGATTTGTTCCTGGTGTTCTAATTTTTTATCTCATGTTCCAGGTTTGTTTCTTGTGGTCCAGGTTTGCCCCTCATTAGTTCAGGTTTACTTCCTCATTGTTTCAGGTTTGTTTCTTGGGGTCCAGGTTTAACCCTCATTGGTTCAAGTTTGCTTCTCATGGTCCAGGTCTGCTCCTTTCTGGTTCCGGTTCGCTCATCGTAGGTCCCGGCTTGTTCCTTAGGGATCAGGTTTGTTTGTCATGGTCCAGAAATGTTTCTCGTAGTTCAGGTTTGTTCCTCGGGGTCCAGGTTTTATATTTGTGGTCCAGTTTTGTTTTTTGTGGTCCAGAATTGTTCCTCATAGTTTAAGCTTGTTCCTCTTGGTCCAAGTTTGTTCCTCATGGTTGAGGATCATGGTCCAGGTTTGTTCCTTGAGGTTCAGTCTTGTTGCTAATAGTTCAGGCTTGTTTTTTGTGATCCAGGTGTTTTCCTCATGGTTGTTTCTTGCAGTCCAGGTTTGTCCTTTGTGGTTCAAGTTTGTTTCTCATTGTCCAGGTTTGTTCATTGTGGTCCAGATTGGATCCTCGTGGTCCTGGTTTGTTCCTTGTGGTCCAGAATTGTTCCTCGTCTTTCAGGATTGTTACCTGTGGTCAAGAATTCTTTCTCGTGGTTCAGGTTTGTTTCTTGATGTCCAGGTTTGTTCCTTATGGTCCAGGCTGTTTCCTTGTGGTCCATATTCTCATGTTCCAGTTTTGTTTCTCGTGGTCCAGGTTTGTTGCTTGTGGTCAAGATTTGTTTCTTGTAGGCCAGGTTTGTTCTTTGTGGTCCAGATTAGTTTCATCAAGGTCCAGGTTTTGTTAGTTGTGGTCCAGGGTTTGTTTCTCATGTTCCAAGTTTATTCCTCGTGGTCTAGATTTGCTGTTCGTGTTCCTGGTTTGTTCCTTGTGGTCTAGCTTTGTTTTTGGTGGTTCAGGTTTGTTCTTAATGATTCAAGTTTGTTTCTTGTGGTCCAGAACTCTCCCTTACGGTCCAGAATTGTTCGTCATCTTGTGGTCAAGAACCATTTCTTGTGGTCCAGGTTTGTTCTTCAGGGTACAGTCTTGTTCCTCATGGTCCAGGCTTGTACTTTGTGGCCCAGGTTCCTCATAGTCCACATTTCTTTCTTGTGGTCGAGGCTTGTTCCTTAGGGTTCAGGTTTGCCCCGCATTAGTTCAGGTTTGCCCCGTGTTGGTCCAGGTTTGTTCTGTTCCTTACAGACTGCAGCTGTATCAGTACTGCACACTCACTCAGTTCCGGACTCTGCCATGAACGCAGAGCGGTTTTCATGTTTTTGACCTTTTTTTAACAACCCTCTGTCATCTCACACCACGTGGTCGAGGGACATAGACTCAGAGTGGCAGAACCACAGAGAGAGAGAGAGAGAGAGAGAGAGAGAGAGAGAGAGAGAGAGAGAGAGAGAGAGCTGTCATGGGAAATGAGAAAGAGGTTTAATTAATTCAGAGTGAACTGTAACAGTGTCTCTGCTGCTGTCAGTCTATCTCTCCTGCCCTCCCCCCTCTGTCTCTGTTATATAACTCTATTGAAGCTCCTCCAGATTCTCCAGAGACAAACACAATGAGGACAGTGAGCGCTGTAGTGTCGACAGCTGTGAAGCCTGCAGGGACTCAGGGTTCACCGTGTTACCGACAGACTGACAGACAATTTCACCTCATTATAAACAGACTGTGTTGGTCTCATTTGGCCTTCCGAAGCTGTCTGACAGCTGCTCATTTATTACGGACAGTTTAAGTAACCAAACTGATGACAACCAAAACGTCGGCCGATGCTGCTTAATAATTTTGGGAATTGAACTCCCTGGAATAAATCTGAGGTGACGAGTTTTGGTGTGATCCTAGATTTAAATCTAAGCTTCAAGTCCCACATTAACAAGGTGACGAACCCATCATTTCTCCACCTCAGAAACAGAACATAGGCAAGGTACGACCATTCTAAATGAAAAAGATGCAGAGAAACTGATTCCTGTCTTTAATTCAAGCTGACTCGATTACTGTAACGCACTTTTTACCAGCCGTCCAAAAAACACCACTGAGTAGGGCCGGGCGATATGGACAAAAATTCATATCTCAGTATTTACAGGTTGACTGGTGATACACTATGTATATCTCGGTATTTTCTAAGAAACAGGCAACATGTTTTCAGTTGCAAGTCAAAGCCACATTTGAGATGTCAAGCAGTTTTACAAAAACAGACTGTGATAAAGATAAAATGCAAAGACAGGGATTTTTTCTGTAAAGTGCTGTAAAGTTTAGTTGATTCAAAACACACATTTAACACACATTAAACATGGCTTAATAGAGACAATTTCAAACACAAGTACACAAATCAGCTTCACTATAACTTGCAGCATTCACAGACAAACACTTGTCTTTATCTGGACACATTTTCCCCACAAATACAACATGCTAATGTTATTAGCACAAGTCTATGGCATTTTACATTGTATAAATTAGCCTAGCAGCTAGCGATCTTTTCCTCTTCTCATATAAAACTAGGGACAACAGCAACATTTAACAAAGGTAACACTACAAAATTCAGCTCCATTACAGCTCACAAGATTAACCAACAAAACAACTGTCTTATACTAAACACTTTTTCCAAAGAAATTTAACATGCTAACGTTGTTAGCACAAGCCTGTGGCATTTTACATTGTATAAATTAGCCTAGTAGCTAGCAAACTTTTCACCTACTGATATGAAGTCAGGGACAACAGCAACATTCAACAAACGTAACATTACATGCTAACATTATTAGCACAAGCCTATGGCATTTTACATTGTATAAATTAGCCTAGTAGCTAGCAAACTTTTCACCTACTGATATGAAGTCAGGGACAACAGCAACATTCAACAAACGTAACATTACATGCTAACATTATTAGCACAAGCCTATGGCATTTTACATTGTATAAATTAGCCAAGCGATTAGCGGAGATTTCCTCTGCTCATATGGGACTTAAAAATACTGTATTGTGTGGAGGCTTTCTTCACAATCTGTTGTTTCTTATCTGTGACATTTAAGTAAATAATTGCTTTCAGAAACAGACAGGAGGTCTGCGTTGCTGTGAAGTGTGGTTATATTTCTGAGGAGGTGCACTTCAGGCTATGTCTCTAAAAAGTGTTGCTGGAGAACTTGTGAGTGAGTGAGGGGGGTGGCGCTGTGTGGAGACTGTGAGAAAGGAGAGATGCACACTAGTAAGCGTTGTGTAACGCCCTATATCGATATAAACAGTGTTGTCTAAGTTTATATCTTGCTTAAAAGTATATCGATATATCGTACATAGTCGTTATATCGCCCAGCCCTACCACTGAGAGACTTCAGCTCATTCAAAACTCTGCAGCTTGACTGTGAACCAGAACCAAGAGGAGACACATCAGGCCAGCCAGAGCTGCTCTGCACTGACTTCCTGTTACATTAAGAACTGATTTTAAGCTCCTCCTCCTTGTATACAAAGCGCTACATGGGCTGGGACTGAGCTACATCGCTAACTCCCTTATTAACTTTTTGCCTCCAAGAACACTGCAATCATCTGCTGCTGGTTTATTGGAGGTTCCTAGAAACGGCAGGAAGAAGATCAGAGATGCAGCCTTTGTCAATTACGCCCCACAGCTTTGGAACACAGTACATATAGATATTAGGGAAGCTAGCTATTTTTAAAAGAAAGCTAAAAACGTATGGTTTACTTTTGCCTTTAACTAGCTCTGACTTTCCTCATACAGGTCTGAAACTCCTTTTTATGCTTCATGCTGCTGCAGCTCTTTTAAAATCTTTGATTTTATGATTTATAATTTTACAACTCTATGATTTTATGAATCAGTTAATCCGTGTTTTAAACTGTTTTAAATGTCCTGTTGTATTGCATTGCCTTGTTCGTCTGTTTTAATTCGTATAGTGCCCTTATTGTAAAGACCTTTGTCCTGCATTTCTTGTATGAAAGGTGCTATATAAATACAGTTTGTTATTATTATTATAGTAACTAAAGGGCAGCACATGTTGGTGGCATCGTGACATTAACTATATGGAGAGAAACAGGGATGTTGTGTTCTGAGGGGAGAACATGATGAAGCCGTTTCTGGAGAGTTGAAGCGTGTTGATGCTGACGGTGACGTATCCTGACGAGGTGACACACTTTAGGGAACGTTGACGCTAACTTTTCAAAGCTGAGAAACAAGGCAGACGTGAGTCCTGCTGTGTATCAGTCCCTAGTATGATCAGATGATATTCCAACAGTGCTAACCTTAAAGACTAACCTTCTGTTTCTACTGTGAAATAAAGAACAGCTTTGCTAAGGTTTATTCCAGCTTGTTAGAGGCATTCCTGGAGCTTGTTCCTGTTTGAATCTGCACATGTTTTGATGCTAAGCTTTCAGGTTGTTTTACCAGTGACTGCTGCTTTCTTCTGTTCTTATTCAGCTGTTGCTCAGAGGGATCTTTGTCTCTTGTTTGAACCATTGTGCAGCATTTTGTTCTCCATGTACAAAGCAAACCCTTCATGCCCACAAAAAAATATGGAGTGTCTCTTTGCATAGTTACACACAGCTCTTCAGCTACTTACACCCATCTCCCTGTGATGCATTATTATGGATCCCACTGCTTGCTGTGATTGGCTTGCACTCGTCATGACAGCATGCCAAGGTCAGAAGCAGTTAGGATTAGGGCAAAGAGGTCATGGATAGGGCTAGTACTAGCCAATCTTAAATATTCTCTCAGATTATAGTGGGAAATTTACAAGGAAAAAAAACTCACAAATGTACTACCAGAAAGTCAGGTGATGTAGTGTAAGGAGCAACACAGTCCACATTGGGTGTAAGATGTTGTGGATGAATAAGTTAAGCAGACTGGGTTCCATCTGAGTCAATGTTGGCTTATTAGTTTTTGACTTAGTTGATTTATTTTCAGTTTTTAGAATGTGTCAAGCTGCTGAATGGCAGAATAATGGATTAGAGCCGTTAACGTTATATTTCAACATTGCTAGGACACTAAAAAGCCACATTGGATATTTATGCCCATGTATGTGTTAATGCAACACTCTGCAACCTTCCAAACACGTGGGTATCAACCTCCCAAACACCAGAGCATTCACCTGGAACAACACTCTGCAACCTCCCAAACACCCAAGCATCCACATGGAGCAACACTCTGCAACCCTCTCAACACCTGAGAATCCACCTGGAGCAACACTCTGCAACCTCCAAAACACCTGGGTATCAACCTCCCAAAGACCTGAGCATCTACCTGAAGCATTACTTTGCAACCTGCCAAACACCTGAGCATCCACCTGGAGCAACACTCTGCAACCTCTCAAACACTTGGGCATCCACCTGGAGCAGCACTCTGAGCATTTATAAAAAAAAAAAAAAGTCTCTGGGTGCAGAGCAGGGCTGTGACATCAACAGGTTGCAGCTGTTGAGATGTGATGTTTGATCTGCACAGTGTGATTGGTTGCTGCCTTTATATGCAGGGTGTGAAAGCTCAGAAAGATCAACCTCAAGCCAAAAATAAATGACAGTCACGTAATATTTGCGGTCTATTAGAAAGTACTCATGACAGTTTGAAAGAATCTGCTGACGTATGAACGAATCACACAAAGAAAAAAAGGGCCCCCGATGTGTAAAGGACGAAGACTCTAAACATGTCAGCAGCCCCGTAATGACCACCTGAGAGTACCTCAGTAACTACATTGAAGTAACCACCTAGTAAGACCTCAGCCACACCTCATCAGCACAACACTGTAGCTTTAAATCACAGCTACATTTACATCATAGTTTATAATGGTGGGAAACATGATGGATTTAGTCACATTAAATATTTGAATTATAATTTTATTATAACCTGTAGTTTATGTGGTTTTCTGCCTTCTCTCTCTGTGTGAATGAGTTATTGTTAAAGACTTAATGGTTTTAAACGTGTCTCTGCTTTCTCTCTGTGTGTGAATGAAATGTTGCCGTCCGCAGGTATATGATTCATGATCCATCAAACTCCTGCAGGAAGTGATGTAATAATCATGTTGTGGAAGAGATGGTATGAGAGGGGGAGAGAGGTGGTTGCTATAGTTACAGTTACAGTTGCCTAGGTGACCAGCCCCCTGAGGGCTCAACAGCTGTTACCATGGAGTTGCCGTGGAGACGAGCAGTCAGCAGAGAGATGCTGCATGTGATTAAAATCTTTCTCTGTTTTCACAGATGAACGGATCAGAAGGAGAGCTGGAGTACGAAGAGATCACTCTGGAGAGGGTGAGATATATACTACAATATATAAATATATATATATATATATATACACACACAAAATATACACAACACTACACAACATATAGATATACATAAAGTTGACTTACTTGACTGTGGTCAGTGGAAGAATTCATGAGAGACACATCCAGGTAGAAAACAGGAGGGAACCCAGAATTGAACCCTGAGGGACTCAGGTAGTGGAGCTCAAGGGTTCAGACAGAGATCCTGTCTGTGTTACCCTGTCTTTCAGGTGGAGGTGAACAGGTAGAGTGATCTTGAAGGGTGGAGAGGAGGATCTGGAGGTTTAAAAACAACCAGTGGTGGGTGAGGAAGGAGGTCAGGAGAGGGAGGATGAGAGGTCAGGTGGATGGGCGGTGGGAGGTGACCAGGGTCAGTATGTTACCAGGAGAGAGGGGATGAGAGGTCAGGTGTGTGGGTGGTGGGAGATGACCAGGGTCAGTAAGTCATCAAGATAGAGGGGAAGAGAAGTCAGGTGGAAAGGCTGCGGAAGGTGACCAGGGTCAGTACATCATCAGGAGATAGTGGATTTGAGAGGTCAGATGGACAGGCGGTGGGACGTGACCAGGGTCAGTTGACTCACTTGACTGTGGTCAACCAGGTAGAAAACAGGAGGGGACCCAGAATTGAACCCTGAGGGACTCCGGTTGTGGAGCTCAAGGGTTCAGACAGAGATCCTGTCTGTGTTACCCTGTCTTTCAGGTGGACGTGAACAAGTAGAGTGGTCTTGAAGGGTGGAGAGGAGGATCTGGAGGTTTAAAAACAACCAGTGGTGGGTGAGGAAGGAGGTCAGGAGAGGGGGAGATGAGCGGTAAGGTGGTCAGGCGGTGGGAGGTGACAAGGGTCAGTATGTCATTAGAGAGAGGGGAAGAGAAGTCAGGTAGTTGGGCAGTGGGAGGTGACCAGGGTCAGTTGACTTACTTGACTGAGGTCAGGAGATGAATTCATGAGAGTAGGTAACAGATCCAGGAAGAAAACAGGAGGGGACCGAGAATTGAACCCTGGGAGACTCCACTAGTGAAAACAGAGATCCTTTCCGTGTTACCCTGGTTTTCAGGTGGAGGTGAACAGGTAGAGTGGTCTCGAAGGGTGGAGAGGAGGTTCTGGAGGTTTAAAAACAACCAGTGGTGGGTGAGGAAGGAGGTCAGGAGAGGGGGGGATGAGCGGTAAGATGGTCAGGCGGTGGGAGGTGACAAGGGTCAGTACATCATCAGAGATAGGGGATGAGAGGTCAGGTGACCAGGCTCGGTACGTCATCAGGAAATAGGGTTGAGGAGGAAGTAAGAGTGGGAGGTGGAGAGGTGGATGGAGGCCAGTGTCAGCAGGTGGGAGTTGAGGAGCGTATGTCATCACTCACATGTGAACAAACACTGAGCTCTGAGTTATTTTTGTCTCAGCTGCTGTTTTTAGAAACTGTCACTCTGTGTTTAAAAGCTGCAGAAATAAACTCCACCCGACTGACAGCAGCAGGTTATTTTTAACTCTCCGCTGGTTATTTTAGGAAACAGTTCAGACATCACACGGCTGAACTTCAATGTGAGGCTCATGTTCACAGAGTCACAGCTGGTCTTCATCATCATCGCACAAGTGAACCAGAGGACCAACATCTGATTGATTTCTACTTTGATCAGACAGATTTTAATTTGTTTCATCCTGCTATAAAATCTACTTATTCTCACATTAAAAGACAGCAGCAGTTAAAGGGTTAAATGTCACATAACAAAAACAGACACAAATATGAAATACTTGAACTCCAGCTCTGTATATTTTCTCCTAAGCTTTAATTCTTTAAGGTTTTTTTTAAAATACCTTCAACGACCACAAAACAAAACATCGAATGATGTTGACGTTCAGAATGATGTTCAGATTGTTTGTCATTCTATGATCTCAAAACACCTGAAATAGCTGCTAACGTTTGGCTCCGCCCCCTGGTAAAGGTTTGCTGGGAGTCCATTAGAGTCAGGTGCATTGTGGGAAGATTCTGGGGAAGCAATAGACCCTAAGGCGGCATTGTGATGTGTGTGTGTTGATGTGTGTTCAGGGGAACTCCGGTCTGGGCTTCAGCATTGCAGGAGGAACCGATAATCCTCACATCGGAGATGACCCGTCCATCTTTATCACCAAGATCATTCCCGGAGGAGCAGCCGCCCAGGACGGACGCCTCAGGTACACACACATTAAAACACACACACACATCTGTCTGACCGTTCGTGACATGAAGCCTACACCGTGACCCCGGGTCTGAACCTTCAAGCAGTCCTCTGAAGTCAGAACTGAACCGAATGTCCTCACAATGCAGGAATGTCCTCACAACAACAGTTTCTGTCTCTCTTTCTCCGTCTTCAGGGTGAATGACAGCATTGTATTTGTTAACGATGTGGATGTCCGCGAGGTCACTCACTCCATCGCCGTGGAGGCACTAAAGGAGGCGGGGCCTGTCGTCAGGCTGTATGTCCTGCGGCGACGCCCACCAAGCGAACGCATCACACAGATCAAACTGATGAAGGGACCTAAAGGTAGGAAAGGAGACGAGGATACTGTTGCATCATGCCTTACTCCACAGATCATATCTGAGTTGAGATGGAGAACTTAAAATAGGGGTAAAATCTGTTCCTGTTGGAACTGTGATTTATCCCGTTAAGGGTTTAAAAACTGTCCCTGTCTGGTCCCTGTTTGTCTGGTCCCTGTCTGGTTCCTGTTCCCCTCTGGTCCCTGTCTGGTCCCTGTTCCCCTCTGGTCCCTGTCTGGTCCCTATCTCTCTGGTCCCTGTCTCCCTCTTGTCCCTGTCTGGTTCCTGTTCCCCTCTGGTCCCTGTTCCCTTCTGGTCCCTGTCTGGTTCCTGTTCCCTTCTGGTCCCTGCCTGGTTCCTGTTCCCCTCTGGTCCAGGTCTGGGCTTCAGTATAGCAGGCGGTGTAGGGAACCAACACGTTCCCGGAGACAACAGCATTTATGTCACCAAGATCATCGAGGGTGGAGCAGCACATCGGGACGGAAGGCTACAGATCGGGGACAAAATATTGGCAGTACGTAAAAAAAAAAAAAAAAAGTATATATTTACATTCAAGGCTTCTTTTGCGGTTTTCAACACAAGCCGTCTCAAGTTCAGAACACCTTGAGTGAATTTCCTCAGATTTGGCACAAACATCCACTTGGACTCAAGGTTGAAATCATTAGATTAAATGGTCAAAGGTCAGAGTTTATTGTGACCGTGCTTCCGTCTCATTCTCCTGAACACAACATCTCAAGAACACCTTGAATTTCTTCAACTTTGGCACAAACATCCACTTGGACTCAATGATGAACTGAATGGAATTTGGTGGTCAGAGGTCAAGGTCACTGTTCAAATTTGGCACAAATGTCCACTTGGACTAAACTAATTGGAATTTGGTGGTCAAACGTCAGTGTGATCTCACAAAGCATGTTTTGGCCATAACTCAAGAATTCTTATGCTAATGTCTAACAAGATAAAATGATGAATGATGAAGTGATGACATTTCATATTTAAAAGTTCAAAGGTTAACTTCACTGTGACATCATAACGTTTTCTGGCCATTATTTAATGTCATATCTCAGGAACAGAAGGGGAGACATTTGGTCAGACACTGAATTGGTAATCTTCAATTTTAATTTTGAAAATGATTACATCTGTATTTTTTCAATAATTGGACATTTAGTCTTTAGGATGCTCTGAGTTAGTGGAAATGTTTGAATCACATGAGTGAAAAAAAAATCCTACACAGCCTCGAGCCTAACTCTAATTAGTATAATACAATCAAATTCAATCAAATATTGATTTAGAAACCGAATGTCAACGTTATGAATGGAGCTTTGAACCATTCTGTGTCCTTATATGTTGTAAGGGTTCTAGTCTAACATGACCTTTGACCCCGGCAGGTGAACCAGGTGTCCCTGGAGGACATCCTGCATGAGGATGCCGTGGTAGCCCTGAAGAACACAGGGGAGGTGGTGTACCTGAAGGTGGCTACGCCCACCTCGCAGTACATCCACCCTGCTGATCGGTACAGCCCCCCCGACCTGACCAGCTGTACGTACACTTCCTGTTTCTAACACCTGGAATATTACTGTGGTTCTACCTCCAGTAGGTAGTAGTACCTCTACCTGTTTCTGTTACTGCCCGCTAGCATGTTAGCAGTTAGCTCTCCAGCTAAACAATGTCACCAGTGATCCCTGTACAGCACTAGCAGGACTTCAGTTCCACATCATGTCCTTTTATTTCCCTGCAGCCTACATGGAGCCTGACTACATGTGTGATTACCCACATGCCCTCCCTCCTCCGTCACCACGACGATACTCACCTATTCCCCGAGGCATGATGGGAGAGGACGATTACTCCCGGGAGCCCCGCCGGGTCTGCGTCCAGCGGGGGTCCACCGGTCTGGGCTTCAACATCGTGGGTGGAGAAGATGGAGAGGGGATCTTCATCTCCTTCATCCTGGCAGGAGGACCAGCAGACCTGAGCGGAGAGCTCCGGAAGGGAGACCAGATCCTCAGTGTGAGTACAGACTTCAGGTTGTCAGGTCCTCAGAGTAAGTACACAGTATACAGTATATCTATATCAATTTATTGATAGAGAGAGAGAAAGTATACTATAGATCAGTTCAGTAGCTGTTTTTACCACTAGGTGTCAGACTAACCTGTGTGTGTGTATATACAGGTGAACGGTGTGGATCTCAGGTATGCGACACATGAACAGGCAGCAGCAGCTCTGAAGAACGCCGGACAGACTGTTACCATCGTAGCACAGTACAGACCTGAAGGTACTACCTGTACGACATGTTGTTAGTACATGTACACCATGTGACGGGGGCGTTGGAGATGAATCAGTGTGTGGAGTTTTTCTGATCCTTCCTGTCCTGACAGAGTACAGTCGCTTTGAAGCAAAGATCCATGACCTGAGGGAGCAGATGATGAACAGCTCATCTGGAAGTCTGAGAGCCAACCGCAGCTTCTACCTCAGGTAACACGGTCCAACCACCACCACCACCTGGACAGGTAGCTCCTAAATCCCAGAGAGATTAGCTGGTATTAACACGTTAACTCCTTGTTGTTTCAGGGCATTGTTTGACTACGATAAGCAGTGGGACTGTGGCGTCCTATCACAAGCTCTGGACTTTAACTTTGGGGAGGTGCTCCATGTGATGGACAGCGCAGATGATGAGTGGTGGCAGGCCAGACGGGTGAACCAGCAGGGGGAGCTGGAGGAAGTGGGATACATCCCGTCCAAACACAGGTTCAGATAACACACACCCATACTGTAGTAATACTTCAATCCATGAATGCTTCCTGATGTAAACACATAGTGTTTGTGTGTTTCAGAGTGGAGAGAAAAGAGTGGTCACGCATGAAGAGTAAAGGTAAAACTGACAACATACAAACAGGGAAACACTCAAGTGTACTCACAAAATCAATTCAACTCAAACTGGACTTTTAAAACACACGTTAACATGTTAGTGTGACTGAAATCGCACCAAAGTGAATTTGTCACAGTGGGACTAACACACCCAGATCATGTGACTCCTGCATGTATACAGTCAATCAGAGCCAAACTGGCCGAGGCGCTCTGAGCATGCTCCACAGTTTCCGCCCCAGGCTTTGACCCAGAAGTCCAATAGCATTAAATGTGTAAGAGAAGAAGAAGCCGGTAACAACATGGAGAAATCTACATCCAGAGCCATGACTTTTTGGATGGACCAAATGTACAGAGCTGTAAAGTTGTCCACCATGGTACCAGTTAGCTGCTAGCTAACCGTAGCTAACTTGTTTGTCCATTGTTTGGTCTGTGACGTAATAGGTCAACAGGAAAAAGGTCCAATACTAACAAGCTGAAAGGGGGCATATCTCCACCTATCGTAGAGGAGTCGCACATACTTGGCTCAATAAATGGATTCCCCTCCCGTGCTTGTATACTGGGACAAGGACAGTAGTCCAGTTAGATGTCCTCGTCCAGCTGGGACTGTAGCTCCACTTCACTGTGACTGGAAACAGACTGACTGAATGAATGAATGTCAACATGTTGCTATGTGTTGTTTTCTGCTCACAGGTCGGGAAGGTTTCGTCCACAGCTACGAGCTCATCACTCAAATTGAAGGTCAGTGTCACCTTTGAACTTTGACCTCAGTGGAAACTACACAATCACACACTCTGCCTCCAACACATGAGGAGTAAACTTAGTGTTCAGCTGCACAAACTATCAGCTAGACTTTACAGTCATCAGTTGTACCTGAAGCAATAAGTAGCACTGTGTCTCTTGTGATGTTTTCGTGTGACTGTGTGTTTGTCAGTAATGAGCAGGTGTAAATAAAGTTACCTGTTTCTGTCTGCAGTGGACTATGCTCGTCCCGTCATCATCCTGGGGCCGACCAAAGACAGAGTCAACGACGACCTGCTCTCCGAGTTCCCCGACAAGTTTGGCTCCTGCGTCCCTCGTAAGTGTCGTTCAAACTGAAAACATGATGTTTACAAACAGGACATGATGTCACAATCTCTCTCTCCGCAGACACAACTCGCCCTCGGAGGGACTATGAGGTCGACGGGCGGGACTACCACTTTGTGGGGTCACGGGAACAGATGGAGCGAGACATCCAGTCCCATCGCTTCATCGAGGCGGGCCAGTACAACAACCACCTCTACGGGACGTCGGTGCAGAGCGTCAGACAGGTGGCCGAGCAGGTGAGACATGCCGGTGACCATGGCGATGTTCTCAGCAGGGCTCATGTGGTGTCATGGCTACCATGGTGATATTTTCATCATTGAGATGATTGATTGGTGGTCATCACAGTGATATTCTGGGATATGACGGTTGCAGTGGAGAGGTTGTGAAAATATTCTGCGATATTATGATTATTAAGACTGTGTGTAGTTACCATGGTGATGTTGCTAACATGTCGTGGTTGTAAGGTTGAGACATTTCCTTTCGTCCTGGGGACAACAGAAAACGTGTGAGATGAACTTCCCATGGAAGAAAAGGATGCACTGTCCTTGCGTCAGAGAACGCAGCCTGTTCTTTCATGTTACATTGTGAACAATAAATCTGACATCAGGAGAAGGAGAGCTAGTTAATGTTAGCTGTTAGCAGCTAGTTAGCATTAGCTGATGGCTGTTAGTGGCTAGTTAACGCTGGCTGTTAGCAACTAGTTAAATTAAGCCTTTAGCAGCTAGTTTACACTAGCTGTTAGCAGTTAGTCAACATTAGCCGTAGTAGCTAGTTAGCAGCAGCTGTTGGAATCTCATTAAAGTAAGCTGTTAGCAGCTAGTTAATCTTGGCTGTTAGCTGACAGCAGCTCGTTAACTTAAGCTGTTAGCAGCAAGTTAACATTACATGTTGGCAGCTATTTAAATTTAAAGTTAGCAGCTTGTTAACGTTAGCTGTCAGCAGCTAGTGACAGTCAGCTGTTGGCATTAGTTAGAATTAGCTGTCAGCAGCTAATTAATGTTAGCTGTTAGCAGCTTGTTAACCTTGGCTGTATGCTGTTAGCAGCTTGTTAACCTTGGCTGTTAGCTGTTAGTAGCTTGTTAATGTTAGCTGTCAGCAGCTAGTTAATATTAGCAGTTAGCAGCTAGTGACAGTTAGCTGTTGGCGTTAGTTAGAATTAGCTGTCAGCAGCTAATTAATGTTAGCTGTTAGCAGCTTGTTAACCTTGGCTCTTAGCTGTTAGTAGCTTGTTAATGTTAGCTGTTAGCAGCTAGCTAACATTAGCGGTTAGCAGCTAGTTAAAGTTTGCTGTTAGCAGCCAGTGGAGCTAACAGCTGATGGAGGTTACATTTAGTCAAATCATGATGCGTTCAAGCTCTCTTTAGTAAAAATGAGTATTGGGTGAGGGTAAATTATAACGGTCTTATGATGTGTTCAGTGTTATCTTGTAAAATGTAGTTTTTGGTGAGAAACTTGAATAAATCCAGCTGTCTGGAGGAGAATTTGAAGAAACGTTTTCACAGCACTATAAAATAGATATTAAATATAGTAACGAGACTTTTGAAGCAGTTATTTATTTAAAGGTGTTATTCCTAGAAGGTTTTATTAAAGGCTACTTGATTAATGTGTCTGATTAAATTTGTGCTCATCAAAGGTTGAGTGATGAAGGACTGAATGACTCTAAAACAGTTCAGTTTTTTTATAGTGTCAATTTCTTTGTTTTCCTGGAACAAAAGGGGGAATAAATATCAGTGCATATCCACTAGTGATGTATGTGTGTTCACCAGGGGAAACACTGCATCCTGGACGTGTCAGCCAACGCAGTGAGGAGGCTGCAGGCGGCTCAGCTTCACCCCATCGCCATCTTCATCAGACCTCGCTCACTGGAGAACATCCTGTAAGTCAGTGAGGTCATGAAATACGTCACATTGGGGGTGATGTAGACTCTCCCTGCTGTTTGAAGCGGACTGTAAATAACCAAAGTGTGTGTGTATGTGTGTGTGTGTGTGTTTGTGTGTGTGCAGGGATCTGAACAAGCGTCTGTCAGAGGACCAGGCGAGGAAAGCTCTGGATCGAGCCATCAAACTGGAACAAGACTTCCTGGAGTGTTTCACAGGTAAAAACTCGTCATGCGGGTTTAACACGACATTTATGGTTTAAGGTTTTATGTTAACTGTATGTATGTGTGTGTGTGTGTGTGTGCGCGTGGCGTGCAGCCATCGTGCACGGCGACAGTTTCGAGGAGGTGTACCACCTGGTCAAAGCCGTCATCGAGGAGCAGAGCGGCCCTTATATCTGGGTTCCCGCTCGTGACAGACTCTGATTGGCCACTGCCAGCAACTGACGTTGTCTCCATGGAAACAGCCGCCAACTGCCCCTTGCCCTCTTCCATGACCACACCACCCCCTCCTCCTCCTCCTCTTCCTCCTCTTAGCGGCGTGACCTGACCGAGAGCAGACGTTTGTCTTTTTACTGTTTTTGTTTTCTTTCTGATGCCGAGCGAGCACAGTGATTGGACGGATGCTGTACCCATGGCAACCAAGTGAGATGTGTTTTTTAAAGAAGAGGGTGGAGCTGTCCATGTGTCAGAGGATCAGATAAGGACAGATGATTGATTGATTGGTTGATTGATTGATCCTGTATTATCAGTAAATAATGAATCAGGACTGTAGAGTTCAGTTGGTATTGAAGTATTTATATTATCCTATTTATTTATTGATTTATCTATTTATTTATTTAATTATTTATTTATTTATGTGATGTGAAAATGGTGTGTGTGCGCGTATATGCGTGTGTGCGTGCGTGTGTGTGTGTGTGCTTGTGTGTAGTGTACATAAAGACTTGTGTGACTGTAAATAAAACGATGGGGCTCAAACACACAGTCTATTCAGGGCTTAAAGTATCAAACTCTAGACTACAAAACCCATGATCCTCCTCATGTGGACTACAACACCCACAACCCTCTTCATATGGACTACGCCACCCACGATTTTCCAGATATGGACTACAACACCCACAACCCTCTTCATATGGACTACGTCACCCACGATTTTCCAGATATGGATTACAACACCCACAACCCTTTTCATAAGGACTACCACACACAATACCCTCCTCATGGACTACAACACCCACAATTTTCCTGATATGGACTACAACACCCACAATAGTCCATATATGGAGTACAAGGCTTCAACACCCACAAACCACCTCATATGGACTACAACACCCTTGAATCTCCTTATGTGGACTACATCACCCACAATCCTCTTCATATGGACTACAACATCCATTATTCTTCTCATATGGACTACAAAACCCATAGACCCTTTCTGCAGAGATGACAATGCCCTGAACCCCTCCTTCTGCTGCATTACAATGCCCACAATGCCTCACTGCTTGGACTACAACACCCCTAACCATGGTCATCTGGACTACAACAACCACAATCCTCTTAATGTGGACCACAACACCAATGATTCTCTATATAAGGACTACAACACCCACAGTCCTTCTCTGCATCGACTGCAGTGACTTATACCCCTGCTTCTGCTGGACTAAAATGCCCACAATGCCTCACTTCTTGGACTACAAAAAACAAAATCGTCCTCATCCTGACCACCAACAGTTCTCCTCATTTGGACTATAATCCCTATAATCCTCCTCCCATGGACTACAAAATCCACTATCGTCATTCTGACTACATCTCCCCCTACTTTCTGGACTACAACACCCATAATCCCACTCTTTATAAACTACAACACCCTAACCCCACCCCACCGTTCCGACACTGCTTGGGTTGAAACACCCCAAACCCTCCTCATCTGGACTACAACACCCACAATACACTACAACCCTGACATTCCTCCTCATTAGGACTACAAAACCCACAATCCCATTCTGTCTGGACTACAATACCATAACCCCCTTTCTGTTGGACTACAGTGCCCACAATGCCTCTCTGCTTGGACTACAAAACCCTGGTCATCTGGACTACAACACCCACAATCCTCCTCTGCTGCAGTGGACAGTTTTTGCTGGGCAGCAGCAGCAGGAGGTCAAACTGAAACTGAACACTTCCTTTTTTTAAATAAAAGGCTATGGACTACATTACCCACAGTACCCAGCTCCAGTGAAGGATTACACCACCAACAAATATCTACAGCACAGAGGGACTACATTACCCACAGGTCCCAGCTAGATATCTCCTGGGACTACAGTATCCATGATTCCCTGCTCCTGAACAGGTCCAGGACATTGAAAATCAGCTGAGTAAACATGGTGGGGGCGGGGCTTTGGGAGATCCACCTGTGACATCACCCGTGTAACCATGGCAACAGTGGGTTTTTTAGACTGAATATCAGGGTCATGTGAATAATTCTAATAATTATTAATAATCATAATTATTGATGATGTAATATCATCTCTCTCTCACACACGGCGGGGTTACCTGAGGTCGTCTTTTCTTTCTGAGCACTGACAGAACACACTTTATTATTAAAACTTATATCTCAATATTTATTAGCCTGTGACACACACACACACATACAGTGACACACAACACACACAGTAACAGACACTACACACTTACAGTAACAAACACACACTACACGACACACACAGAGGAGGCTGCTGGGTCGACGACTGGCTTGTTGTATAATGAAATAATTAGTTATAAATTAAATTCAAATATTGAAATAAATTCCTTATAAAACCTGAATGTAACTTCTGTGTGATTCATATGATGATGACAATGATGATGATGATGATGTCTCAACATGTGAACTGATTTTGAGTTTAAAGCTTCGGTGGTGAAACTGAGTGTGTTGACGACAACTGCATCATTTCAGCGTCACGCTAAAAGTGCAAAGTTTCGTCCGGCAATGATAAAATGAGGAAATTTCCAAGTTGAAATCTATGTAAAATCTCGATGGACGCAACATTTGAAATGTTTGGTTGTCTTTTTTAGAGCAGACAGATGAAACCACACACTCATTCATCACACACAGTCTTGTGTAGAAAATAAGTGGAATCTTAGTTGTGATTACATTTCTTATAAAAACCATCAACAAATATAATAATCTATTTTTTACATCAAGCCAAGACAGACATGACATTTGTCCTGAACCCACTTTCATCCACCTGTTTAATTAACACGTTTTGTATATTAAGATCAAGACTTGGATTTGAGTGCAAAGAATGATTTGTTCCAATTACCATACAAGTTGTCTTAGACACATTTACGATAAGTTTATTACCATTAATCCAATCTAAGACCAACTTCATTTCTTGACTTAGGTTAGTATTTAAATCACCAATTGTTGTTTCAACTAAATAGATTGTTGAATCGTCTGCATACATTGAAATATGAGCCCTTTTCAATAGTAAAGGAAATCCTTTGATTTCAATCAGGAACTTTTTATGACATACAGTGACGAATTTGGAGAAACAGAACTGAACTGTGTGATCGTACAGCTCAGAATGTTAGAGAGCTGCTTGGAGAGCCTGAGGTTATGGGTTTGATCCTCTGTTTTGTATGACTCTATGACATTTTTATGGCACATTATACTATGACTTATGTTTTAAAGATACTATACTATGACTTATGTTTTAAATATTCTATACTATGACTTTTTTAAGATACTATGCTATGACTATTTTTACACATACTATACTACAGTGTTTTAACCTCTTGCACTCCACCCCCATTTTGTAACAAAAACGCCTAAAATGACATACCCAAATTAAAATGACTGTAGCTTCTGTACCGCTCTGACTACATGCATGCATGAGGTCTTGCCAGAAAGTAAACTCTCTGAAGTTTCTTGTGAATGTGTCAGAAACACTCTAGGTGATACAGAGACAGAGTAATGGGCTTCTGAATCAGTAAAAAATTGATGATTTTGCCTAAAATAAAATAAAAAATGATTTTCAGGATGAATAACTGTCTGTGGCTTCATCTGAGCAGGTAAGTGACACTGTGGGGCTGTAGGCACACTATCAATGAACACTTGTTTCAAATTTGAAGAAGACTGCTCAAAGTGACCATTCTACAGTGTTTTTTCCATGAAAAGATCCAGGCGGAGCTCCAAATGACAAGTCTGTCACTCGGCTTTAAAACAGTACTGTCAGTGATCAAACAACACTCAGCCAGCTTCAGACATTGTACCTTATTGAAATCAGGTGTGATTATGATAGCTGATGTTGTTTATGACACAGAAACACCATAAAATATCATCAAATAAAGCCATATGAAACGTGAAAGTTATAATCCCACTTTCTAGACGGTATATCTCAGCCAAAAATAGTGGTAGGAGTGAGACTTTTACCTTTTGTAAACCAGCTAAGTCCCCTCTAATGGCTCCGAATAAGATCGCGAGAAATCCTTTAACTTTTCCCGTCGAAACATGGCATGACATGTCTTGTCACCACTCATAGCGATTTTGGACTTTGTGTGTTTAGGCTGCTCTGGTGCAAAATACATAATAAATAAAAGAAAAACTATGTTATTTTTGAAAAGTCGAGAGCTTCCTGAATCCGGCAATACCAAACATCACATGGTTTGATGACGTAGTGCGCCTGGGAGATACCATTTAACAGAGGAGGAGGGGAGTGAGGACGTCGGCGTCTGGGCGGAGTTAGAGAGGTTTTAAACACTATATTTTTATTTTTATTTTTGGTGAGTCAAAATTCATAGTCATAGCACTGTAACCTCTGTCTTTAAAAGTCATGAAAAAACTAATAGTATAGTATGTCTAAATTTCATTATGTAATATGTTAAAGAAAGTCAGTATAGTATGTTTTTTTAAGAAGTCATAGTACAGAATATTTAAAAAAATGAGGTCATAGTATCGTATGTTGTAAAAAATCTTGAAGTCATAGTATGGAATGGATTTTTTAAAGAGTCATAGTATAGTGTGTTATAAAAATGTCAAATAAGGATCAAACCCACAACCTCAGGCTCTCCAAGCAGCTCTCTAACATTCTGAGCTTTACGATCACATAGTTCAACTCTGTTTCTCCAAGTTCTTCACTCCATGTCATAAAAAAGTCATGGTATAGTAGATGTGTTGCTTTTGGTTTAAAAAGACAAATTTCCAACATTGTCCAACGTGGAGGTGCTCTTAAAAAACATCTAAACATTTTAAACGTGTTCATCGAGATTTCACGTCAATTTCATTTTGTGAATTTCCTGATTTCCAGCATCATCCAATGAGGAGGAAACAGAGAAATAACTAAATCCAAGTGAGCCCAGGGGGTCGGGCAACTTTGAAAATAATTACATGCTTTTGTTATGACTTTAAATATTTGAGGTTTAGTCTGTTTGGTTGACTCTGCGGGTGATTGAGGAGCTGATTCTCAGCCCAGCACCTCCTCAACAAACCTCCAAAGACCCCTGAATCCACTTCCTGTACCTTCTCAAGACTGTCTGAAAGTCCCTGGAATCTCCTGGAGAACCTGGAAAAGTCCATGAGCTTTGTGTCCTGCATTCAGGACGCTTCATTGGGCTGTATCACAGTCTAACTCCATGTCAGCGCTCATTTGTAGGACCTGCACTCTGTAACAGACCTGCGAGTGTGTCGGGCTGTCTGAACTCTATAAAACAGAGCTCAGACAGGTGGGTGGCAGCTCCTGAATTAAAAACAGGCTCCCTCCACATTATTGTCTCACCACACTGACCACACTGTGTGATGTCACACTGCGACCTGAATGTCCCGTCATGTGATTGGTCGCTTCACGAGGTCAGAACAGTTTAAATATGAGCCCAACCTGTTGGCCTCTGATAGTACGGTTACTACGGAGTATTACTGCAACTGGATCAACCAGAACGGCAGAACTGTGAGTACAAACTTTTAGATAGTACGCCAACTACTCCTGCTACTGCGATGAGTTTCCCACTTGTACATAAACCACCATTTGATTAGCGTTAACCTGCTGTGGTAGCCGAAGTACAACTTGTAGCAGATGCAGCACTTCATTTCTCCTTGCTAAAGTACATTTCAGAGAACACGTCACGCTGTAGTAACAATACATTTTGTAAATACATGCAAACTATCGTGGCTGAACATTCTCTCCTCTTCCTCAGTCAACGATGAAGGTCCCTCTGATCTTGTTGTGTTTACTGGGCCTCAGTCTGACCATGACAGTAAGTATATCTGTCTCGAACTAGAAGTTATGGGATGTTTTTTAGCTTGTAACAGCTTGTTTTCCTGATGTTTCATTGAGTTACGGTTCATTTTTGGAACCTTTCAGCATGTCTTTAACCATTTCTGAACATTTTTAGGGGCTGTTTACATCATGTTTTATAGTGTTAAAGTCATTTTTATGGAACTTTTAGCACATTTAACACATTTAAGTGTTTTTTAAGAATATTTAGCAAGTTGTGTTCTGTTTTTTAACGTTTCATCCAATTTATTTAAATTTAGAACACTTTATTGTATAATGTCCAGTTTGCAGATGTTTAACCACGTCATAGTTAATTGTCAGAAAGTTTTAATATGTTGTTGCACATCTTCAGACACATCTGGGCATGTTGCAGTTTGTTTTAGCACATTTTAGCATGTTATATGCAGGTCATCAGCTTTACCTGTCTCTGCTGATGCGCTTCAGTTGTTGTGTCTGTTTCTCAGATTCACAGAAGAAGAGTAGCCAGGTCGGACAGCTCTGAGGGAGATGATGAGGTGAGTGAAAGGACTGAGGAACCACAGCTGGAGGACATCTGGGTACCGATAGGTCTCAACTCTTTCATTTCTAAAAACAGACAAAATATCACGAGTCAGCATGAAGTATGTTAACATATCACAGAGATTTTCAAAAGAAGCTGATTTCATCTCCAAACTTTCAAATCAATAGAAAATATGACATCATAAAACACTAAGTCTAACGATCAGCCTGGTCCAGCCTCTCACCTGATTGGCTCCTGACTCATGAACGTCCACGATGTGAGGAGAGCGCGTCACTGTAAAAATACAGAAGCCGAAAATAATCAAATTAAAATAAAATAATGTCACCGGCTGCAGAATCTTTGAGATTTAAAGCAAACAAACAGTCAGCTGAGGCTCATGGGTAATGTAGTATTCAGAGCTACAATGACTTTGTTCTGTTACAGAGCGACTCCAACGAAGCCAGTGATGAAGAGGTGGAGGAGGAGGAGAGACAAGAGGAAGAGCAAGGAGGAGAGAAGAAAGGAGACGAAGAGGAGGAGGAGCAAGGACAGAAAGATGGGGAGAATGAAGGGAAAGAGGAGGAGGAGCAAGGAGGAGGAGGGGACGTAGAGGAAGAGGAGGAGGAAGAAGCAGACGAGGAGGAAGAGGAGGAAGAAAAAGAGGAGGAGGGGGAAGATAGCAATGAGGAGGATGAAGGAGAACAGGGTGAGGAGGAGGAGGAGGAAGAAGAGGAAGAGAGAAATGAGGATGAGGAAGGAAAAAAGGAGGAGGAGGAGGGTGAAAAACAAGGAGAAGAAGAGGGAGGAAAAGGAGTTGAGGATGAGGGAGGAGAAAAAGAGGAGGAAGAAGAAGAGGAAATAGGAGAGGAGGAGACAGGAGGAGAAGAGACAGGGGACGAGATAGGTGACGAGTTAGGACAAGGTGATGCAGGAGACACAGGAGGAGCAGAGACAGGAGGTGATGCAGGAGACACAGGAGGAGCAGAGACAGGAGTTGATGCTGGAGGAGACACAGGAGGAGCAGAGACAGGAGGTGATGCTGGAGGAGACACCGGAGGAGCAGAGACAGGAGAAGAGACAGCGCCTCCTGCTGTGGATGAACGGGAGAAAGCCTCCATATAGGTGAGACAAACAGAAACATGTTTACTGATTATTTGTTTGTTGTCTAAACAAAATTTCCCATCATTTCTTAAAATGGAGGCAAACTCCTGGCCTTTCCATTGACACCTCATTTGAGCCAATAGGAGCTTCCAGTGTTGTTTCTATGGTGTTAATACCAAGGAATGTATGTCAGTGACAGTTTTTGTAGTTTCAAGCTAGTTAAGGGGCCGTACACATGCCGCGTCTTTAACCGTCTGGAAAACGCGCGGTCAGGCGCTCGGTGCTACTCTTGAGTCTTTTCTTTGCCAGCGCTCAAGAGCACTGTGGCAAGTTCAGTCTGAGGTTGCTAAGCAACCTTAGCTAGCACACTATCATAGCCTATGTTAGTGTGTCAACCTGTTGTCCGTGGGACAGACATGAAGCTCTGACAGCTCTGCACTAAAATAATTAACTTCTTCTCGTTATCTACCACAAACTGATATTTACGGATGAAGGGAAAGGAATCCGCCCGCTGGTTTGTGATTGGTTTGTTCCCGTCACATGTGCTCTTAAAAATAGGCACTTGAGAACAAGTGTGCCACGACATCATTCTGGTGTTTGAGCACGCCTGCCACGCGTCTACATTGAAAACAATTAATTTGAGGGCACAAAAATACAGCATGTGTACTGCCCTTAAGGTGACAGCGATTGGCCAAGCATTCCTGGGGCTTATGGGTCTTGTAGTCAATGGCACTCCTCACCTCCAGAGGAGTTTTTAACCCCTTAACGTCATCACAGACTGTTACAAATGTACAGGCATAATAAACAAGTGGCTCCTCTGTCATCTAAAGGGGGAAAAAGAGTTGATTAATGTAGGTTTACTAGAAGTGTTTTATATACAGTAAGGTTCTGAATAGACATTTCTTTCTTGCTGTGTTGGTGTTACTTCATATTCACACATTCACTTCATTGTTTTATCCTCTTTTTTAAAAAAGTGCCTGGACTAAACCTCAGAAACAACACTGTTATATTCTGTGATATTGTTATTTACTTTTATCAAGAAAATACTCAGTCATATTTTAATAATCCCTCTGTCTGTGTGTTTAAGGTCACATGACACCGCAGAGCCAATCAGACAAGATGGATTCCAACCAGAGTGTGAAGTCACATGATGAGACATTTATTTGGTTTTTGTTGTTGTTTAACATTTAAGAATTGTGTCTCTTGTATTTCTGTGTCTTCCAGTCTGGAATATTTTCACTTTGAAAATAAAATCTTGAATCAGGTTCTTTGGTGGAAAATTTGTTTATTTATTTATTGATAAATCATGATTGTGGACTTTAATTGTTGACTTGTTCTGTGTTTTAACTGTATCCACATGATGTTTAATGTTTAAGCTGTTAACTGTTTAACAGAGCACATTTTGAGTCACTATATTTTAATAAAAAATGTGTTGAGCTCAACTTGATTGTGCTATAAATGTGTATATATAAAGGATGCACAATAATATCTGCTCATCATTATCGGACGATAATGGCCATAAAATAAAACATCGCACTCTGCAAAAATTAAAACAGACGATAAAATAAATAAGTGTAACAATTTCATGGTCGGGTCTTAACTGCTTATGATCCAGTTACTAACTTTCTAATGCAAAAGACTGATGATATAGTGCGAAATACTGACGTCACTGTGTGAAGATAATATTTACAATCACCATAAAGTGACCAGACATCAAAATAAGTTTGTAATTTCAGTGTATTTACAAATTGTTGTAAATAAAACGTACTGAACAATGAAACATTTGGGCCCATAAATGTGTTACAGTCTGTTAGAGTCTGCGTAGTGACGCTGAAGCTCAGAGGAGGTCAGAGTTCAGAGTTTAGTAACTTACGACACCGCACTGTCCTGACCACGGTAAATCCAGAGACAGCGGGCTAACGAGCTCCTTCACAAGAAAAAAAAAGTAAAAGTCAAAAACAGTTTTGAATAAAGTTATCCCCTCTTGATCCACCCACTGACATAAACTCACCCACTTAGCTAACATCCACACCAGTTAAAAGCTGCTACCATAGCTAGCTAGATGCTAACAGGCTAAACAGTCATCACAATTCTTCTTCCAGCACGGCAGTTAGTCACAACGGTTTTAACAGTCACTGAACCAAAGTCCTACATCCTGCATGCTAACGTCTTCACAGTCAGTTCTCATCGGCTCAATATTTAGTCCTTTTTCCTGCTAACTGTTAGCTGCTCTCCTCCATGCTAACGGCTCTCCAGGGTTGCCAGGTCTGACCCATTTTGTCTTCTTCGCCGCCATGATAGGCTGACAGCTTAACAAGCTAGTTACCACCCATTGTAAACTGTGTTTTATGAATTTCTCAAACCACCACAAAATAAAACAAAAGGCTGTGAATTATTATTTTCCTTAGGGATTTTAAGATTTTAAAGGAAACTTTTATAAATGCAGATAAATCAGATAATGAAATAGTACTACACAATGCAACACAAACACATGGTCTTAAACCAGGGTATTATGTATGTGAATAAATTAAAATATATGTAGAAATAAAGATAACCTGGTGTACAAGGACACAGATAAACATGTATATTCAGTCAGAGGATTCAGGGAAGAAAGTTGCATAATTTTCCTTAATACATGAACATATCAATATAGGTTACCAAATGAGTTTATAAATCAACATATAATTTACAATATAATATACATATATATATAGGTCTGACTTAATACATACAAAAAATAAAAGTCTAATAAAGGTCAAATCATTTTTTTAAAAACATGCTCTACCAAACAGTTCATTTGTCCTTTAAATATCAGCCTGTCACTAAAAAAAAAAAAAAAAAAATCAAACAAATCATGTAGTGTTGTAATGTTTGTAATATGTTAGTATACCAACATATATCCTGTAGCTACCATGGAGTTAGTCGTATTAGCAGCACTAGTATTATTTCTGCATATTTATTCAAGATATTTACCATTACAGTACTTTGACAATGTCACAGAAATGGTGTTAAAATCATACAGATAAGATTTTTCTTATTATCAAATACACAGTGGAATAACAATAGATCTATGGTGGTAACAGCACTGTAAATTTATCCTTTTTTTAGATTCATAAAGATTGTGAATTTATTATCTTAGCATCACGACCTTTAACATAAAAGGACAATTCAAAGTATTTCAGCATATATATATATATATATATATATATATATATACAGTACAGGCCAAAAGTTTGGACACACCTTCTCATTCAATGCTCATTCTTTATTTTCATGACTATTTACATTGTAGATTCTCACTGAAGGCATCAAAACTATGAATGAACACGTGGAGTTATGTACTTAACAAAAAAAGGTGAAATAACTGAAAACATGTTTTATATTCTAGTTTCTTCAAAATAGCCACCCTTTGCTCTGATTACTGCTTTGCACACTCTTGGCATTCTCTCCATGAGCTTCAAGAGGTAGTCACCTGAAATGGTTTCCACTTCACAGGTGTGCCTTACCAGGGTTAATTAGTGGAATTTCTTGCTTTATCAATGGGGTTGGGACCATCAGTTGTGCTGTGCAGAAGTCAGGTTAATACACAGCCGACAGCCCTATTGGACAACTGTTAAAATTCATATTATGGCAAGAACCAATCAGCTAACTAAAGAAAAACGAGTGGCCATCATTACTTTAAGAAATGAAGGTCAGTCAGTCCGGAAAATTGCAAAAACTTTAAATGTGTCCCCAAGTGGAGTCGCAAAAACCATCAAGCGCTACAACCAAACTGGCACACATGAGGACCGACCCAGGAAAGGAAGACCAAGAGTCACCTCTGCTTCTGAGGATAAGTTCATCCGAGTCACCAGCCTCAGAAATCGCAAGTTAACAGCAGCTCAGATCAGAGACCAGATGAATGCCACACAGAGTTCTAGCAGCAGACCCATCTCTAGAACAACTGTTAAGAGGAGACTGCGCCAATCAGGCCTTCATGGTCAAATAGCTGCTAGGAAACCACTGCTAAGGAGAGGCAACAAGCAGAAGAGATTTGTTTGGGCCAAGAAACACAAGGAATGGACATTAGACCAGTGGAAATCTGTGCTTTGGTCTGATGAGTCCAAATTTGAGATCTTTGGTTCCAACCGCCGTGTCTTTGTGAGACGCAGAAAAGGTGAACGGATGGATTCCACATGCCTGGTTCCCACTGTGAAGCATGGAGGAGGAGGTGTGATGGTGTGGGGGTGTTTTGCTGGTGACACTGTTGGGGATTTATTCAAAATTGAAGGCACACTGAACCAGCATGGCTACCACAGCATCCTGCAGCGACATGCCATCCCATCTGGTTTGCGTTTAGTTGGACGATCATTTATTTTTCAACAGGACAATGACCCCAAACACACCTCCAGGCTGTGTAAGGGCTATTTGACCAAGAAGGAGAGTGATGGAGTGCTGCGGCAGATGACCTGGCCTCCACAGTCACCGGACCTGAACCCAATCTAGATGGTTTGGGGTGAGCTGGACCGCAGAGTGAAGGCAAAGGGGCCAACAAGTGCTAAACACCTCTGGGAACTCCTTCAAGACTGTTGGAAAACCATTTCAGGTGACTACCTCTTGAAGCTCATGGAGAGAATGCCAAGAGTGTGCAAAGCAGTAATCAGAGCAAAGGGTGGCTATTTTGAAGAAACTAGAATATAAAACATGTTTTCAGTTATTTCACCTTTTTTTGTTAAGTACATAACTCCACATGTGTTCATTCATAGTTTTGATGCCTTCAGTGAGAATCTACAATGTAAATAGTCATGAAAATAAAGAAAACGCATTGAATGAGAAGGTGTGTCCAAACTTTTGGCCTGTACTGTATATATATATACAGCATATACATATATATATTGAATAACATTATATGTATCATTTAACAACAACGAATTATCAGAAGTGTTTTTATTTAATAGGAAATAAAGTCAATTTTGATAAAATAATCATTGCTTCTCTGCCTTTATCATTAAAAAAACGGTGAGGTCTGAAAACAAAACTTGTTTTTTGTTATCGCCAAGGAAATAAAAACAAATGCAAAAAAATACATCTCCTTTTCTTCTTTTTTTAGTGTTGACATTAAAGGGTTTTTCTGTGCTGTATCACAATTTGTCCCTTTTTGGACATTTAAATTGTTTAATTTGGTAAGTTTATAAAAACTAAACAGTTTTACTGGTTGTGTTAAACTCTGCAGGTCAAACACAATCAAACCTTCAGTCAGTTGTCACACTCCTAAACTGCAAACAACCAAACTTATTATTTCATTTCAGTTTTCTCAGTCAGGAACTCTTTGTTTTTACAATAAAACATTATTGATAGTTGTTTTACAGATCAATGACGACTCACTTCTGTGTTTCCTGTTTAATCTGAGTTTGTATCTCAGTGTTTTTTCTCTCCGTCTGCTTGAGTAATATATAAATTAAGCACAGGGAACACCCTCTACATTAAAAGTCTGTCTGGGAGCCCGTTAAGGAGCTTTTAATGAGGCTTCAGCTCCCACGCTGTCTTTACTGTTACAGCTACCGATGATGTCACTCACACTGAACTTGACTGAAGCTCAAAGGTCGGGAGGTCGAGCAGAAAATACAAAAACAACAGATCAAAGACAGAAAATACTTTAATAATAAATACATCAATAATATATTTTTTTTTATAAATCTGTTAATTGTCTTAAATAAAGACAGAATGATGTTTATTATTTAGTGTATTTTTTTATATTTTAATACCTTTCTGTTTACTTTTTATCACATCTTAGAATTTATAACATCAAATATTAATCTGCACCATTGCTTCTAATGTACATCTCAATATATTTCAAGTTATTATCATTTTTTATTTCATTTCATACCTGTATATATTAATGCTACACGTATTTCGCGCATCTCTTACACAAAAAGTTTCTTCAGGATACATTTTCTTTTAAATTAATTAATAAATTAGTTAAATAAATCATCAATCATGTTATTGAACTACATAACAGTTTGTATATGTGTGTGTGTGTGTTGCGTGTCTCAGTGTGTGAATGTGTATGTGTTGTGTATGCTCCACACGTCCCCGGTCAGGGCGTTGGCGGCTCCCTGCAGCGTCCAGGTAAAGAAGGCGAGCTGCCGTCTGAAGCGTTTCTCGTCGAAGCGTTCGGGGTCAGACGTCAGCAGGGCCAGGTGCTCGGCGAGAGCGCTCAGAGTGTGGTCACCACGGCCGTGGATC